AGCCTTTTTCTACTCTTCCTTTCTGATAGGAGTGGAAAAGAACCCATGTGCTAGACTGATGGCTGCGTAACGTGGACCCTGAGCTCTCTCTGGGTCCCTGTGGTAGCTGTTCATGGTCTGACTTCTGTGATTTCTTAAGTTTTCTTTTTATTTTCTCTACAGGGTCATTTCTAAGTTTTCTTTTAAATCTTCTGTATAGGGACACTTTTATAAATGTTCTAATATTTTCTCCAGTTTGTCCATGTGTTGATAGCACATTAGGGGTCTATAAAGGCGCAGTTTACCATGTTGCTATAAGCGAAGTGGAGAATATTTTTCATGTAACTTAGTTTTGAGAGAAGACGATAAAATACAGCAGCTCTGTTGGTCGACAGAGGGACAAGGAATGTGTGTGCTTTTGCGCTTGTGCATGTGGTGTGTGGAGGAGTGACTTGGGTTAGAATTAAGAAACCATGATACAGTGTCTTTAAGAGGAAAGCCCTTAGAAGGGAGAAAGTTGAAAGCTCAGAGCTGTCACTGCCTAATGAAGTAAGGCCTTGGAAGTGGAGATTCAGGTCCTAAAAAGACTTTGATGGGCTCAGAGCGGGAAAGAGAAGCACCAAGCCAGAAGGGACACACATGCTCATGTGAGGTTGACCGTGGCGTTAGAATCAAAGCGCTCCTGCTAAAGTTGGGAGCTGTTTTTTTTTCTTTTCCCCGACTTGGTTTGGTATTCAATGTTGCTTTCAAATAAGTAGGATCACCATTTTGAAAACGTTTTAGTTGTTGAAAAATTATCTTCTATAATGCTATTATTTAATATTAATTTTCCTAGGGAATGGGCTTTTGAAGTGCTTTTAGGCTGCTATGTGTTGCATGTGAAATGAACATGTTTATTTTGTATTTTACTAGCGTTACATGGGGAATAAGCCTATCTAAAGATTCCAATAACCTTGTTGCTATTAAAATTGCCTTGGGACTGATCTCAAATTAATATATTCATTTTGCCTCCTATTGGGGAGAAACTAATGTGGTTTATTTGCCAGCAAAAACACATGTTTTTTCAGGAGATTTTTTTTTTGCAAAGTATCTTAATGGAATCTAACATTTTGGTTTATTGGTAATCTCCTAACCATAATTGAGAAATTCAGTATTTGGATGGGAAAGTGGGGGCACAATAGATAAAATTTTGTAGAGGAAGAATAAATAATAAATATTAATAAATGGTCTTTTATTTCTAACTTTTGTTTTCTACTTGCCAGTGAAATATAAGTGATTGTTTGACATACTACTTTGGTATAATAGTAACTTTTATTTTGATTTTGGGGAAGTTTAGATGTCGCTCCCCCTCTTCGTGGAGGAACGACACAGGACCCTGCGCTGTTCTCTCGTCTGCTCGGCCCTCCCCGGGTTTGCTGCTGGTTCTTCCCGGGTTGGCTACTATCCCTTCCACCTCCGTGGAAGGGCAGTTCCCCCTGGCCACATTCCCCACTTCCGCAGGGGAGCGGCACACCGCCGGCCGGTTCTTCTCGGGGGCTGCACGAGTTCCCTTAGATGTTCCCCATAGATGTTCCTGGTGCATGCCGTCTCTCTCCTCCTTTATAGTCCTCCTCCGCCAATCCCAACTCGGCTGCCCACACGCCGAGTACGCTGCTCTCCAATCAGGAGCAAGTCCTACAGTTTATTAGTTGAACTGGAGGCAGCTGTGCGGAAGCTGTTTACTTCTCTCCCAGCGCCATTTTGTGGGAGAGCAGATGCATAGAATAAGTCTTAATTCGAGTAACTTAGTCTAGTCCGGATTGCTCCCCACAGATCCCCCTTTCTTTTTATTTTTGGCGTTGATACGCGCCTGTCTTCGGTGTCCCGCGGCACACACTCTGCTCTACTTGCTAGAGTTGCCACAGGCTCTTACAAGTCCTATCAATCAGGAAAACCGAATCCGGGTCCTCTCTTCGCCATGTTGTGAGGAGGTTTTTAGGCGCTGATGCGTGCCTGTGTTCGGTGCCCTGCAGCGCATGCTCTGCTCTGCCTGCAGGGGACTTACAAGCCCTATCAGGCAAACCGAATCCAAGCCTTCTCATTGCCTTATTGTGGGGGAGACTTATTAGTGTTGGTTCGTGCCTATCTTCGGTGACCTGCAGCTCATACTCTGGTCGAGCTGCTTGCTGGCGCTTACCGCCTTAAATCAGGCAGACCGAATCCAAGCCTCCTAATTGTTACATTGTGGGGAAGCCTTACTGATGTTAATTCGTGCCTGTCTTCGGTGACCTGCGGCGCATAAGCTGCTAGCTGCCCGCAGGTGCTCATCGCCTCACTTGATTAGGCAGACCGAATCCAAGCTCTCACATTGCAGTGTTGTAGGGAGGCCTTTTTATTTCTCTATTTCTCTATCTCCGGGCATTCCTATTTCTCCCATTTTACTTCTATCTTCCAGCATTCCTATTTTTCTCACTTTACTTCTAAACTTCTGTTTCTCTTATCCCTGCGGCTTCCCGCTCTCATTCTTATCCCCGCGGCTTCCCGGCTGCGCCCGCCCCGAGGCTGCTTCTCGGCGGCTTCCCGGCTGAGCCGCTTCAGCCCGCGCTTCTCCGATCTGCGCGGCTTCCCGGCTTTGCGCGGCTTCCCGGCGCCTCGCCCCGCGGCAGCTTCACGGCTCTGCGCGGCTTCCCGGCGCCTCGCCCCGCCGGCGGGTTCCCGGCTCTGCGCGCACGCTCCGCGGTCTCCACGCACTTCGCGCCCGCACCACGGCCTCGCGCCAACGCCCCGTGCTCTCTCTGCACGCGGCGGCTTCCGCGAATGTTTCCGCCACCACCGGCATTCAGTCCAAGTTCCCCGGACTAACCTGGCGAATCCTGGCGGCCCACGTCTCTGCCTCTGGTTCCAGATCTTCGCCTCTTGCTCCCCGGGGTGACTTGAAGAATTCCAAGGTGGCTTGGCCTGCACTCGCGGCTTCATCCTCCCTAACATTTTTCTCTACCCGGCATGCTTCCCCAAGTTTTCTTCCAACAATATTCCTCCCTCATTTCTCCTGGCTTCTCCCCACAGTCCATATCCGAGTCCAAGTTTCCTCTAGGTTTCACTTTCACTTTCAACCTGCAGTCCGTATCTAAGTTTCTTCTTGCTTTCACTTTAAATCCTAACTTCTTTCCCACAGTCCATATCCGAGTCTCTGCCTAGGCTTTCAATAGCTTCTTCCGGCACCTAGGCTCTTTGCTAGTCTCTCTCTCCGGTATTTTCCTGCTTCTTCCCTCCTAGGTTTCCTATCCGTCCTAGGTTTCCTATCCGAGCTAGGTTTCCTATCCGAGTCACGGCACCATTATGTCGCTCCCCGTCTTCATGGGGGAACGACACAGGACCCTGCCTAGGCTTCATATCCGAGTCACGGCACCATTATGTCGCTCCCCCTCTTCGTGGAGGAACGACACAGGACCCTGCGCTGTTCTCTCGTCTGCTCGGCCCTCCCCGGGTTTGCTGCTGGTTCTTCCCGGGTTGGCTACTATCCCTTCCACCTCCGTGGAAGGGCAGTTCCCCCTGGCCACATTCCCCACTTCCGCAGGGGAGCGGCACACCGCCTGCCGGTTCTTCTCGGGGGCTGCACGAGTTCCCTTAGATGTTCCCCATAGATGTTCCTGGTGCATGCCGTCTCTCTCCTCCTTTATAGTCCTCCTCCGCCAATCCCAACTCGGCTGCCCACACGCCGAGTACGCTGCTCTCCAATCAGGAGCAAGTCCTACAGTTTATTAGTTGAACTGGAGGCAGCTGTGCGGAAGCTGTTTACTTCTCTCCCAGCGCCATATTGTGGGAGAGCAGATGCATAGAATAAGTCTTAATTCGAGTAACTTAGTCTAGTCCGGATTGCTCCCCACATTTAGAATCTGTTTATTATTACAATTAAATTTAAGATTTATTTCTTTATTTGAGTTACAAACAGAGAGAGGAAAAGACAGAGAAGGGTCTTCCATCCACTGGTTCACTCCCCATATGGCTGCAACTACAGGAGATGGGCTGATCCAAAGCCAAGAGCTTCTCCCAGATCTCCCATGTGGGTGCAGGAGCCCAAGCACTTGGGCCATCTTCCACTGCTTTCCCAGGCCATTAACAGAGAGCTGGATCAGAAGAGGAGAGCTGGGACATGAACCAATGCCCATGTGTGATCCCAGTACCACAGGTAGAGGCCTCACCTACTAAACACAGCGCTAGCCATAGAAGCATTTATTTAAAAAAAAAAAAATATATATATACATACATGTACTTGAAAGTCAGAGCTACAGAGAAAGAGGGAGAAGCAGATTGACAGAGATCTTCCATCCAGTGATTCACTCTCCAAATGCATGCAACAACCAGGACTTGACCAGACCAAAGCCAGGAGCCAGAACTCCACCAGGATCTCCAAGTTGGGTGGCAGGAACCCAAGTACTTGGGCCATCACCACTGCCTCCCATATGCAGCAGCAAGAAGCTGGATCAGAAGTAGAGGCAGGAATCAATCCCAGGCATTCCAATATAGGATATGGGTTTCCCACCCAGGAGCTTAACCCACTGCACCATAACACCTGCTCCAAGAAACACTTATTCTAAACCTTCCAGTGCCTGGCAGTAGGGGAATATTGATATGACCTCGACACAGCATGTACTCTGAAGGAAGTCAGAAAAGCTGTAAGGCGACAATCAATCAGCAGAACCATGTACTAGTGCATGGAGTGATTTAGTGGGCTAATTGGGATTATGAATCAGGGAAGACTTCCAGAATGATGATATTTAAACCCAAGTATCAACAGATTTATTGATAAATGCATTGACATCAATAATATCAAATTAGGAGAATCGACATTCTATATTGTTGAGCAAGCACCTCTGATTTTCAAGATGTGGCCTTGGTATGTGGGAACTCAACGCAGGCCTGTCTTTACACACACAGCATGCTCCAGGCAACCCTACAAGGTCACACAGATGGTTCTGAAGTGCTGTTTGCCTTTCCGCCCTCTGAGGTGCCGCTGGAAACCCCTTCCTTTGTGTTTGCAGGAACCCTGTCCTGGTCTTCCAGTGCAGCCAGCGCCACGTGATTTGCTTGGACTGTTTCCACTTGTACTGTGTGACACGGCTCAACGATCGGCAGTTTGTCCACGACCCGCAGCTTGGCTACTCCCTGCCCTGTGTGGGTGAGTCCAGAACCTTGTTTCTTTCCATTTCTGAGACTGGTTAAGAACAGAAGGGGCACTGTTGATGTTGAAGTTGGTTTCTTTTTGAGAGGATTCATTCTGAGAGGAGGAGCGTGGTGGGAGCAAGAGGTACAGAGTCACCACCAGACCCCGGAAGTCGGGTGAAAGTAGGCCTGAGGCGAGCAGCCTGCAGACTCGTTTATTTCAATTGGTACAGCAGCTTATATAGCCGAGGCAGCCAATCCGATCAAGGGGTGGTCTATGCCCAACCAATCACAGCCTGTTGCCAGGCAGGCTCCGTTGCCAGGTGGGTATCAAAGCCATCCCTGAGTAACTGACACTTGCTTGCCAGCGGCCATCTTGGCATGGCCTTCTCATTCTACCACACGTTGGCATCAGACTATCTTAGTCCTAATCCCAACCAGAGGATGGGCAATTTAAATTCGATCTTTGCTGGGTAAGACATACTCATGCTTCAGTTACCAAAGATATAAAACTCTAGGGAGCCGTGATGAACTAGAAAATGTATAACTTTTATAAAGGCACTGAAAGTAAATTTTGAAATTATTATTCATCCAAGATACAAAGTGTGGCTGTGTGTTACATTCACCCTGGATCTAGAACAGTAGTATGCAAGCTTTAAAGTGTACCCCATCACAAGAAAAAAAAAACGCTTAAAGAGCACCCAAAATAAAAGGATATGCATTAAAAAGAAAGAAAACAAGCTGAACTATTTAAATTTGAATTATCGTTAATAATACAAAACATTCTTTTTTATGTATGATTGAATAGTGTCAGAATGTCATTGTGATTGGTTCCCTGAAAGAGGGATTAGTGTATCAAGGCGCAAATGTGTATTTATTTTGTCAGTTGTTCCCAAATCTCCTCCCTATTCCTGCTCTCTCACCCCATTGTCACTGCTTTGCCAACCCAGGGAGTGGAGGGCTCTGGCATATGTTTCTAATCGTATCATCTGAGAAAGGGAGCTTCCACGCAGTGTTTACTTCTGATTTTGAACAAGGCTGAGCATCTTTTTGTATGTTTAAAATCCTTTTGCATTTCATTTTCTCAGTCATTAAAAAGAAGTCCTCTTTAAGGGACAGGCTAAGTGAATGCATTCTTTTCAAAAATACCTTTTATGGATCACATTTTTGGCAGTGCCTTCTAGTCACAGGAAAGCATGGTAAAGTTGGATTTCTTGTGTTTCTGTAAATGTGGGTCAATTGCCTTTAAATTTGCTGGCTCATTGCCATGAGGTAGTTAAGACCTCTGTTAGAAGGTGTGGCATAGTCAAGTTCTTATCTAGTTATCCTGTGTTCTATAGTTCTACTATGTTTTGATTGTGTGTTAAATCTGTTTTGATTTTTTTTTCTAACTATCTTAATATCATCCTTAGAATGTTATATACTCCTGGGTTTAATTTTTTAATAGCAAGTAAGGCAAGGCATGAATGAATCTTAAGTATCTACTTTTTTGTTTTGGTTTTTTTTTTTTTTTTGGCAATCCTTTTAAATATCTTTTTGTGCATGTCAGTCACGTCATTACTGGTTATTTAAATATAATACTCGCAGAAGTTGGCTTTTGTTTTTAAAAATGCCCACTTCCTATTGAGAACTTACGTTCCCTGGCACATCTTTCATTTAATGTTTAACCACAAACACAAAGCTACATGTGTGTGTGTTTTGCTTATGGAAAATAATAAGCAAAATTATCATAAAGTGAGACAGGTTAGAAACGGCTGTGGTGTCACTCCAGTGTGTGGTGAACCCCTTCCATAGTATACTCCATCCCCATAAATATTTCTACATTTTTTTCCTAGTATTTTAATACATGTCTTCAAAAGTGCTTATTCACACAAAAAATAGACTTCTGTTTGTCACCATATTATTAATGGTGTATTATTTTAGCCCTTCCTCCTCCTGTCCCATGGCTCCAATTATAAATGTCTTTGCATATTTTGTGGAAATAGACTTTTAAGGGCTACGGTTCTTTTTTTTTTTTTTCCCTAAAAGCAAGCTGGATTGTCTTTGATGTTTGCTCGGCAGAAACAGTCCTAGAAGAGTGATGTCATCGCCGTCCGTGACTTCTCTCCTGGGCTCACTGACACTCACGTTGAGGGTCCCTTGTTAGGTGTCCTGGTGCCCGCACCACCAGTGCCTCTCTTCTCTCTTTTGCTTGTGTTTATGTTATCAGTTCTCCACTCACTTGACGGCTTCCTTGCAAGATTATTCCTAAATCACTTATCCTGTTTGAATGCAGTTTGTTTAGTTACAACAAGGTACTCCCTCCACAGTTCTTTTGCTGAGTACTGGTACTCCTCTGTGACAGGTAATGCACCAGAGAGGCCTCAGTCTTGGCACCGTGCCAGGCACCCCCTGTTCCCCAGGAACCTCCTCTGCAGTGCTTGGCACCTGGCCATGTGGTATTCAGACCAGGGGTGAGAGGGTTCCGTTGGCAGTCTGCAGATTGTCTTCGTGGAGTTCAATTATCTCAGATGTTAAATAATACTTCATATGCCATAATACTATGCCTATAGACCAGTGAGTCATTTGCATTAGCCCAGGTTGTATACCGAGCCTCAGAGAAACCTGGCTCAGATCTTGATTCTGAGTCTTGCCACCTTTATAAAGTAGGACAAGGTTCTTAACCTTGGTGTACCTTTCATTTCATTTCAGGTAAAATGGGGGTAATACAATAATAACACCTGTTTCGGAAGTTATGTGGCTACATTAGGATGATGGCTTAGAAAGGACCATTCAGGTGGATGCTGAAGACAGTAAGGACTGAGTGAACACTGGCGTCTGATTTCGGATGTTCTTCAGACACGCATCCCCATAAGCAGGGTACCTAGCGTGCTGGTGCCTGTGTCTGCATGGGTGCACACATTTATAGAGCAGCACGTGTGTGGATGTTCTTTGAATGTAGGTTGGTGTTTCCAGCAACTCAGCTCATAAATCAAGCAGTTATTCAGCATCATTCACTCCTCTAGCTAATCATTTCTCTTCCTGGTTCATTTGACTCTGCCTTGATACACAGAGCATGGAACACAAGGCATAAAGTACTAATAAAACAGAAAAGCAAAGCTTATCAAATCACAAATGGAAACAGCAGGCCATCAGGAACAAGAGTTATTTAAACCCCTGCTATTTCTTTCTATTTATTTATTTATTTGAGAGGTAGAGTTACCGTCAGAGAAAGGAAGAGACAGAGAGAAAGGTCTTCCATCTGCTGGCTCACTCCTCAAATAGCTGCATCAGCCAGAGCTAGGTTGATCCAAAGCCAGGAGCCAGGAGCTTCGTCCAGGTCTTCCACACAGGTGCAGGGGCCCAAGCACTTGGGCCATTTTCCACTGTTTCCCAGGTCATTAGTAGAGAGCTGGATCAGAAGAGGAGCAGCTGGGACATGAACCAGCACCCACACGGGATGCTGGAGCTGCAGGCAGAGGCTTAGCCTACTACACCACAGCCCCGGCCCCTAAACCCCTGTTATTTCTAGGGCTCAAACTTTCTTCCATGTTAGCACTCATGAAAAAGTTATACTCAGGTCTATGAAGTCCATAAATAAAAATCAAAAGTAATATGTGCAGAAAGCAGACATGATGGTTAATTCCATGAAGAAACTAAGAACACGTTGTGAGGCAGATTTGTGGATGCCTGACCATGCCAGGGGCATGTGCCCATGCCAGGGACTGTGCTAGGCCACAGAGCGTGGGCAGATTGCTGGCCGGGCCACTCCTGGAGCTGTGGAACATGTCCTGGTAGGCTCTCCACCAACAGTGCACAATGACTGAGTCTCAAGGGCCAGGGCTTTCTGTCTTCACTGGTCTGAGAAGCGGAGGAGTGAGCCTTGCTGATGGCTCTGAAGAGGGGTCCGTTTGCCTCTCCAGGCCCCCATTTAAACTGCCTGGCCAAGTTGGTCTAAGTCCCAGCTGTCTGGGGACGATAATTCCTCTAAGAAAACTGCAGCAAGACTTATTAATGAAATCAAGGGAGCATTTTACTCCTAAAGCCGTCGATTCCTCTCAGTGGCCAAGTCCCTATTAATCCACAAGGGATGGGTTATTCTGGGACCACTCCTAGATTTTTCTGACTTTAGGGATTTGAGTGAAATTGTAACTGGAGCAGGTTCATTGGCACATCAGGTCTTTGACCTTTCTTGATGATTGTGTTCCTACTTTGCGATATAAAAGGCTTTGTTGCCCACAATTACCCTGCTCAGGGGCATAGTCAGGACTCAAAGCTAAGGTGAAGGACATAACTGCCGTGTGCATAATTCTGGAATTCCAGGTTGCTCTTCTTCAACTTGGGGGGAATTAGCTATGTCACCTTCACCTGCTCTCCATCCTGCCCCAACCCATACAGAACAACCCTTTCCCGGAAGGTCACCATAGCCTGGAAAGCCATGGGGGAATGTTTGGACACTGACATTTCTAGAAAATACCTTTTAAAAATTTGACATCAGTTTCCTGGGACTGTTAACTATTCATCAAAAGATAGATGGTGTAAGCAGAATTAGTGGACTGGTCCAGCTCTCTGCTGTGGCCTGGGAGTGCAGTGGAGGATGGCCCAAGTCCTTGGGCCCTGCACCCGCATGGGAAACCAGGAGAAGCACCTGGCTCCTGGCTTTGGATCAGCACAACGCGCTGGCCTTAGCGGCCATTTGGGGGGTGAACTAACAGAAGGAAGACCTTTCTCTCTCTCTCTCTCTCTCTCTCTCTCTCTCTAACTCTATCTGTCAAAAAAATATAAAAAATAATAATAATAAAAGAATTAGTGGACTGTTTTCCAACGACACCAATCACACTGAAGTGTACGTATGTGCACACGTTGCTAATGTTACTGCATGTCTTGGTAACAGTTTCTGAGTACATGCATTTCTCTCTATAATGCCTCTTCCTACCCAAAAGTGTATCAAAAGATTCTCTCTCTCTCTCTCTCTCTCTCTACCCCCTGCCCCACCATAATCTAGTCTTTCAAGCCTCTTTCAAGCTCCTTAGGTTA